TTAAATAGCACCGTCTCAGAGTGGATCAACCAGTTTTGCTGCTGACAGGCTGATGGTCCTTCTTGAGCATGTGATCAGCTGGTTTTGGTTGTCAGCAGCAAAACTGGTTGATCCACTCTGAGACGGTGCTATTTAAGAGACTGAGCTGAATACAGCACCTCAGACTGAAGAAGTCTCTCGGATGAGAGACGAAACGTTTCTACATTTTTTTGTTGATTTGCTTTGTTTTTTTGAATGTCCAGAGGACCAGATTTAACTTTTTTTAGATTTACTGTTGAATAACTTGCACATAAAATCTGCATAAAATATGTAAACTGTATTTTAACTAAATATTTTAATATATTGAATATTCTGTGTAATATAAACATTTTCCTTGTGTTTTTTTTTTTCTATTTTATTGGTGTATTCTTATTGAAACTTCAGCTTGTCTGCTTAGCTGCATTTTCAATCACAGTTTTTAAACCGAGTCCGATTGATTTTCCTATAATTAATGACACATTTTACCATGCAGATTTTACTCAACGCATCATAAATGAGTTTTTTCTTTTTTTTAGCTTTTATTGATTATCCAGGTTTCACAACTAAAAAAGCCTTCAGTAAAAATAATTCCAAGTGCCTTATATTGAAATCACCTCCCAATATATAAAATTGTTTGTGGAATATTTTCAGGACTCTGTGATCGTATAGTTTTGAACAAAAAAAAAACAACGCTTGAAAACCTTAATGCAACACAAAATAATATTGAACAATTCTTACTAGAAATTACAGCCGTACCTGTTAGGAGTACAAACGTGTGGTTGGTGGTGGTCTGACATGAAGCTCCTGCCCCTACACAGCAAAATAAAGATTACAGTCACATTAGATTATCTAAACACGATGCGCAGATGCTAACAGCTACAGACGCTAACAGCTACAGATGCTAGCAGCTACAGACGCTAACAGCTACAGACGCTAACAGCTACAGATGCTAACAGCTACAGATGCTAACAGATTGAACTAACTTACTCTCCACAGGCAATAAGCTGCAGCGTTACAAGCCACTGGCAGCAGCAGCTTGGAACTCAATCACACAATAAACTATTTGACTCAGAAGTCTGTTTTCATCAGTATAAACGAAATAAACGCACACAGTTCTTCTTCTTCTTCTTCTTCTTCTTCTTCTTCTTTGAGGTTTATTGGCGGTTGGCAAACAACGAAATTGGTGCATTACCGCCACCGACTGGTGAGGAGTGTGGACCAAAATGTCACTCAAGGATTAAATCCTCTTAAACTGTGTTAATTTAAGATAATGAAAGATTATCTGATAAATTTTACTATTAGAGTTATTTCTGAATAAATCAATTAAATCTAGTTTTACTTTAATATTATTTAAATTTTGAATCAATTGTTGTCTTTCTTCCTCATACTTTTGGCAGTGTAACATTACATGTTCTATTGTCTCATCTGTTCCACAGTACTCACATTTACCACTGCAGTGTTTCCCTAAAATAAAAAGAGTGCTGTTTAGCCCAGTATGCCCAAATCTGAGACGAGAAATAATTCTCTCTTCTCTCCTCGTCCTCCCTGTACTTCTCATTTCTCCAGTTTTCTTTTGGATTTTATAGAACCAGCGTCCTTTCTTTTCTTCCTCCCATATCTTTTGCCATTTATCCTTCATTTTCTGTTTTATTAAAAGTTTTATTTCTGTTTTACTAAAATTAACTACTAAATTCACCGATTTATTTCTAGTGGCTTCCTTTGCAGCTTTATCTGCCATTTCATTTCCTGTAACACCATAATGAGCTGGTATCCATAAAAAAATTATCATTAGACCCATCATATTTATTCTGTATAGTGTTTGTTGAATTTCTATTAAAATATCTGGCCTGCTTTCTGAATGGTTACACTGGTAACTGACTAATGATGAACTGGAGTCTGAACAAATCACTGATCTCAGTGGTCTTGTTTCTTCAACCCACTGAATGGCTAATAATATTGCGAGCATTTCCCCTGTGTACACTGAAAGTCCATCATTACTTCTTTTTCTAACTTTGATGTTGAACTCCGGAACAATAAAGGCTACACCTACTTTATTTACCAAGTTCTTGGAAGCATCTGTGTAAATTTGAACATAGCTGTATCAATATGGTTCTGTACCATATTTGAATTTAAAATGAATCCATTATTCTCATTTCTTTTTTTCAATAATGTAAAATCTACCATGGCATCTGGAAATATCCAAGGTGGTATTACTGGTAATGGAGTTGTTTGACTTATACTGATCTGATCTATTTTGAGTTCTGTCGTTTTCTGATTCACAATCCAACCAAAACTTCTGATATCTTTTACTTCTTTTTCCCAGCAAGCTTTAACTGTATCTTGTGTTGGATGATCCTGTCCATGACCTCTCAGATTAGCCCAGTAATTTAGAGTTAGTTGTTCTCTTCTAATTTTGAGTGGTATTTCTCCCATTTCTACCAGTAGTGATGTTGTTGGGGTAGTTCTCATTGCGCCTGTACAGTCTCAATGCTTGATATTGAATACGGTCTAACTTTTGTAAAGTTGTATCTGCTGCTGAATTATAAACAATGCTTCCATAGTCTAGTACTGATCGAATTAATCCTGTGTATATAGCCTTAAGTGCTTTCCTATCTGCCCCCAGTCACTTCCAGTTAAACACCTCATGATATTTAACACCTTCTTGCTTTTATCTAAAACTTTCTGTATGTGTATATTCCATGTAATCCTCTCATCAAACCAGACGCCAAGAAATTTAAACTGCTTCACTTTTTTTTTAGTTCTTGGTTATATAACTTTAGTTTAATATCATCTCCAATTTTTTTCCTTGTAAAGAACATTGTCTTAGTCTTTTCTACCGAAAATCTTAATCCCCACTTGTATGACCATTTTTCAACTTTAGAAATAGCTTCTTGCATTTTTCTAGTAATAAACTCCAAGTTCCTTCCCCTCTTCCACATTGCTCCGTCATCAGCAAAAAGGGAAAAACCCATCCGAGTATCTACATTTTGAAACACATCATTTATCATTATTGTAAACAATAAAGGACTTGTTATACACCCTTGTGGAGTTCCGTTTTCGACAATGTGTTTTTCAGAATAATGGTTTCCTATCCTTACTTGTATTTGTCTCTTGGTAAGAAAATCTTTTATCCATCTGTACATCCGTCCTGTAATGCCTATATTTCTAATTTTAATTAATAAACCTTCTTTCCACACCATATCATACGCTTTTTCAATATCAAAAAACACTGCTACAATACTCTCTTTTTTAACTTGGGCCTTTCTGATTTCAAATTCCAAACTTAAAACTGAATCCATGGTGTTTCTACCTCTCATAAAACCACTTTGATATTGTGACATATATCCTTTTGATTCTATATAGTATATCAACCTGTCATTAATAATTTTCTCCATTATTTTGCATATATTAGACGTTAATGCAATCGGTCTATAATGTTCTGGGTTTGTGTCATCTTTGCCTGGCTTGTGTATTAGTATTATCACTGCTTCTTTCCATCCCTGTGGTAATTTTCCATTCTCCCAAACTTTATTATAAAGTTCCAATAAAATGTCTTAAGAGGATTCACTAAGATGTTTCACCATTAAATAAAAAATCTGATCTTTCCCAGGTGTTGTTAGCTTAAATTTCTGTAGGGCTCGATTTAGTTCTGATTTTGTAAAAGGAACATTTAATAGATCATTTCCATCCTCTACATGCTCCAAGATCTCTCTTTTCTCTATCATTGTCATTTCTCTTCCCCTTTTCCCTTCCAAAGTAATATTATCAGAACTATGTATTTTAGTAAAAGTTTTAACCATCAGATCTGCCTTTTCCTCATCTTTTACTGCTGTAATTTGACCATTGCTTAATACTGGACAACCATATTCTCTTTTAATTCCATTCATTCTTCTTATCATTGTCCATACTTTATTAATCTTTATATTAATCTTAATCCTTTCTTCTTTATAGATTTGTCAGCAGCCTGTATGATTGCATGACAGAGAAATTTAGCTGATCAACTTTCATATTTACTCCTGATCGCTTATACGTCTAAATGTTTCCCAATCAGCACTACCAAAACACCATTTCTGCAAATCACCTGTCTTATATTTTTCAATATCCAATTTTATTTCTGTTATTATGGGATAGTGGTCGCTTCCTATTGTTGTATCTTTAACTATCTGCCATGAACTAATTCCTGCTATTGAATTTGATATTATTGTGAGGTCAATTGCCGATTCCATACCTGTTCTCATATCAACTCTTGTTCCCTTACCATCGTTTAAACAAACAAGATTTTTATTTTCCATTTATTCTTCAATAATTGTTCCATTACCATCATTCTTAGTACCCCACAATGAGTTATGTGCATTAAAATCACCGCACCAAAAGATGTTTCCATTTAAATAACTACTGAGTTCTTCCATTGATTCATGTGAAAGCCTTTTGCAAGAATTGTAAAAATGTTTAATTTTGATACTTTCCTTCCTGTTCCAAACTTCAACAACTATCCATCCATCCATCCATCCATCCATCCATTATCTTTACCCGCTTATTTCATTTTGGGTCACGGGGGTCGCCGGTGCCCATGTCCAGCAATCACTGTGCGAGGGGCGGGGTACACCCTGGATGGGTCGCAAGTCCATCACAGGGCCACATAGAGACAAACGAGACAAACAACTATTCACTCTCTCACTCACACCTAGGGACAATTTAGAGTTACCAATCAGCCTAACATGCATGTTTTTGGTCTGTGGGAGGAAACCGGAGTACCCGGAGAAAACCCACGCATGCACGGAGAGAACATGCAAACTCCACCCAGAAAGGCCCCTGGACCGGGGTTTGAACCAAGGACCCGCTCACTGATAGGCAGCAGCTCTACCAGTTGCGCCACCGTGCTGCCCCACTTCAATAACTACATATTCTAAATGAGTTCCTTTTGCTAACAATCTAAAGTGCATTCCTGTTTTTACAAATGTTACACATCCCCCTCCCTGGGTCTCACTTCTATCTCTGCGTACACCAGTATATCCGCTAATAACAAAGTCTAAAGTTGGTTTGAGCCAAGTTTTCTGAATACATATTATGTCTGTTTTTTTGTTAAGATTTTTAATAAAGCCTTTAAATTCCTGCCCATTTGCGATTAAACTTTGAGCGTTCCACTGTAGAATAATCAGAGTGCCCCCTCTCCTGATGTCCCTGACTTCCCGTTTCCTCCCAGTTCTTTGTTAACATGCTCCCATGAAATATCTTTTATACCAAAAAAATTATCTGCTCCTTTAACTATTATTTTAATTTTCTCTGTTTTGTACTTTACCTGGTCTGCTCAGTTAATCACATACGCAATGAACAACATGATCCTCTCCACTGTAATTGTAGGTTCAGGTCTCTCTTTTGGTAACTGGGATGTTGGGTTTTGTTGTACACTCATCTCTCTCTTTCCAGTTTGTTCTTGAACTTTTTTCACAGCTTCAGCATAGCTGATATTATTGACTGTTTTCATTTGTTCCACTTTAATGGCCTTTTTCCTAATTTCACATCCTCCAAAAGTCACTCTATGCTGTCCCCCACAATTACAACATTTATCTTGGGCATTGTCACCACACTCCTCATATCTATGATCATAGATATAAACACTCATTATATGATATCTATGTCTATGATCACCCCCACATTTTGGACAGCCACACAGCTCTTCTTCTTAATGGAGTTTTATGGCGGTTGGCAAACAACAGAAGGTGTGCATTACCGCCACCTACTGGTGTGGAGTGTGGATAAAACTGGTGATGCCTGCATGTTCATCCATCCATCCATTTTCTTTACCCGTTTATTCCTTTTTGGGTCACGGGGGTCGCTGGTGCCCATGTCCAACAATCACTGTGCGAGGGGCGGGGTACACCCTGGACAGGTCGCAAGTCCATCACAGGGCCACATAGAGACAAACGAGACAAACAACCATTCACTCTCTCACTCACACCTAGGGACAATTTAGAGTTACCAATCAGCCTAACATGCATGTTTTTGGTCTGTGGGAGGAAACCGGAGTACCCGGAGAAAACCCACGCATGCATGGAGAGAACATGCAAACTCCACCCAGAAAGGCCCCCGGACCGGGATTTGAACCAGGGACCTGCTCGCTGAGAGGCAGCAGCTCT